AAAACTGCTCGTTTACATTTTTCAGAAAAATTACCCACTGACTTTTACAATTGACAAGGAGTTCTAATTTTAAAAATATAAGTTTATATCTCCACAGAATACTCCTTAAGTAGAATAAAAAAATCTCAAGAATTTAAAAATCTGTTCTTCTAATCATAAAAAAATGGATAAGCTTGTTTGTATGTTATGTATGATACATAAAATAAATCACCCTGTTACAACATACTTACGGTCATAGAAGTATAATTGTATTGAAAATTGTTTTTAAATACTTCCACGCTAAACTTGTCAAGTAACTCTTGAGAGGACAACATATTTGAAAGAGTATTACTACAGTTAAAACTGAAAAAAAAATTTTTTAAATAGTAAAAATTGAAACAAAAGTCATTAATACATTTGGTGTGAAATTGAAATAGTTTAGTACTGTCAACCGAAGTGAGATGAGATTACTTGGTTTTGGCTTAAATATATCATATTATTTACAAGAAAAATAGCATAGATTAWTACAATACYAATACAATTATTTAATTCTACCACTATGAAAATACGTTTTATAGCTTTTGTGATAATTAACACKAAACATAATAACTATGGACTGTGCCGAATTATTTTTTGTGTTCAACACTACAGTGATTTAGACAAAATCATTGAATATTTGAATTCTCATTGAATCTAACAGATCCATTACAGTGACCCACCCTAAACCTATTGTATAGYAGTAGTTTCGACTTGCCAACCTTTTTAAAACACATATTTTGTTACAAGTTACCTATAATTTACTTGAAATAATATTCAAATTACAATTTGAATAACTATTCAAGTCAAGCTAAGAATACCAAGAAGAAAGTTAAAATTGATTTAAGTCATATCGGTGGACGGTATGTAAAGTAAAATACTGAAATAGGTAATAACAACTGCAATAAATATTTATTATTTAAGCAATTTTTAATTTTTGTTATTCTTACATATTACTATATTAGGTACAACATTTAAATCATGCCTAWATTTAACTTTTCAACATAACAAACAAAATGTTTAAACAATAAATAAATTAATATAGTAAAATTAATTTCAAATAAACTATAATAACTACTAATGTTACCTACCAATTAAACTAACATCATAATTGAGTATATTATTTTTCGTTTAAAGGCTCATATCCATCTTTTTCCATTTTTTCTTTAAACTTCAAATAGTTATATTTTCTATCAAAGTGTTTTACCTGAAAATGTAATTCAATTAATATATTATTTTTTCAAATTTTTAACATTTAATTGAATACACCGGTAGGTT